GTGTGTGCGTGTATATGTGCGTGTGTGATTAAATTGTGTGCGCGCGCGTGTGTGTGTGAGCGTGTTTAAACTTCAACACGTTTATAATACTTGTGAAAGTGGTATATATGTGTTAGCGTTCGTTTAAATTGTTGATTAAATGGATTCGGTTTTGTGTATGTATGTCTGTGTATGTCTGTATATATGCTATTAATAGTTAATGTTTGTGAATGTGCTGATGCGATTGTTTGAAGAAATTCAAACATTTCCAACTTTGAATTCATCATTATTTCTCTCTAGTTAATTTTTTTCACGATTAATTTTTGTTTAAGGGAATAAATTTTTCTCAATAGGAATCTTTCAAATGTAATGCTTCCTCGCCTCCTCGCTCACCGCAATAAATTTCTCACCATGTACGCATTATATATACGCATTATGTATACGCATTATGTATGCGCATTATGTATACGCATTATGTATACGCATTATGTATGTATGTATATACGCGTATATCTTTTTATAGGTGTCGACGTACTTCGAGATTGATGCAAAGATTTATATTTTATGTCTTGGTATGTTCATGCTACGTGTGTGAATGTATGGTGTGTGTGTGAATTTATGGTGTGTGTGTGAATGTATGGTGTGTGTGTGAATGTATGGTGTGTGTGTGAATGTGTGTTGTGTGTGTGTGGTGTGCGTGTGTGCTGTGCGCTAGACGGCTGTTATGGTAGCTGAATTAGCAAAAGTGCAGCCGTTTCTAACACCAAGACGGGAGGTCGCCAGGATCAAATGCAAGAAAAATCTCGAATTTTTTTGCACTTGAGTCATTCGCCAACTTTTCATGTTTTGTTTCTAGTTTAAAAGCTTTTTTGAAGGCAATTCAAACGAAACGGTGTAAACATTTTCAATACAATGTGTCATGGATTATTAATTCCATCTAGAAAGTGTAGTTTAAATAAATAAAAAAAATCATTTAACGACTTAGTAGGAAAAAAAGATTAAGCAAAATAAAATTATACAAATTCATTTTTTTAAATGTCCTATTCATGTGTGAGTGTTTTTTTTTGTCACAACATACAATTCTACACTACATACAAATGTGCGAGTGTGTGAGAATTTATAAGGCGTTCTTGGGAGTGTGAAAAAACGCACAGCTCATTAAATTACACCGTAAGTAAAAAATTCACAAGAAAGTCAGATGGAAAAAATCCTTTTCATCTTACCGAGACTTTTAGTCCCACCTGAACACTTGTAGACACACCCCGCTGGGGTTTTTAATGCATATTGCATTAGGCGGGAGCTTGAGGTTAAATTTTACAATTTAACAATTAATGCGTGCTCTCACTAACGTGACGCACGTGTGTGTGTGTGTCGGTCTGTGTGTTTTGTGTGTGTATGTGTCGGTCTGTGTGTTTTGTGTGTGTGTCTGTGTGCCTGTGTGTCAGTACGTAATTGTAAATGTCAAGGATAAAGCTTTATGCTTAAATAAAGCAACGCCAAAAATTTTGTGTCTGGTTTTGATTCTGTAGGATAAAAAAAGTTTGATATCAGATGAAATAATAATTACGATTCATATTTCGATGGAGGAATACACTGAAACGCAGAGCAAGCCATATCGTATAACATGGTCGTGACGCAAAAAATTTTCATAGATCGTGTAATCAGATAAAAACTTTTTTTAATTTTTTACTTTCGATTTTATTGAAAATAATAATTACATCATAATTATTTTTTTTGTAGTTAGTTGTCACCATCAAAATAATTATGCTCAAATTTTTTAAAGTATAATTTTCGACTCACAGTGATTGTCAAAATTTCTGCGTCAAAACTCATTTAATTCAATTTATCGCATGCAAGAGAACGTGATGATAAATTTCGCGAAAACTTAAAAACAGTAATGAAGTTAGGAACAACAACAACAACAACAACAACAACATTAATAACAACATTAATAATTGTCAAACATCATCGATTTTAACATCACCATTAACATCCACATCATCGTCGTAATCATCGTCATCATCATCATCATCATTATCGTCGTCGTCATCATCATCGTCCTTATCATCGTAACCATCGTCATCATCATCATCGTCGTCATCATCATCATCAGAAGTAACTCAATTACTAGCTCGCATGCCAGAGATTGCAAGATTGAACTGATTGAAGTTTATTCCTTATCAATATATGTTCCATTCCTACATGTTATATTTCAGATTGCTCATGCTGTTATTATTATTATTATTGTTGTTGTTAATGTTATTGTGATTATTATTTTTATTGTTGTTATTATTTAGTGTATTTTGTTGTTAATGTAATTTCCAATATCATTGATGTTACTGTTTGTTGTCGTTGTTCATATTCTCCAATGTTTTAAATCTTGTTGTTTATTATGTTCCATTGTTTATTATTATGGATGTTGTTTTATCGTTCCTTTATCTTATTTGTTATCGTTATAAAGTTTTAAATGTCAAACTTTTTTTCATATACAATAGAAACACATGAAAATTTGGGTAAATATTTTTGGCTGTTTAAATTGGCCTCTTCACATTTTGTCAAAAATTTTAAATTCAAAAATCTTAGCCCGATAACATTAGTGAATTTACATTTGCACACAAATGTTTATCATGAAATTATGAAAAAAAATTAATTTCTATGTCAGTTCTTTTAACATCTGGAGTAGAATGCATTTTAAAACAATGCAATTTTTTGCTGGTCATTGATCCAATTTGCCGATCACTTTTTAGTATTGCTTTGTTTAAAGTAAAAATAATTGTAATGAAAATTGTATGGTAATTAAAATTGACATTCATAGAAAAATATTTTCCAACGTTAATTAATGATCACATGTTCTCTAGTTTGAAGAAAATTGTAAATTACTAGAAATACTTCAAGCCTTACTAACACTAGTAGTATTTAAACTTGCTCTAGTGTTACCATTTCTCTTTCGTCTATTGTTAACTCGTCACGTATATTCGTGTTTTCAAACAACAAAACGCTCGCAATTTGAAACTTTTTTTTAATGAAGTTTGTTGTTGTATTTTGTTGTTGTATTGTTGTATTGTGTTGTTTCACTTTGTGATATTTTCTATTTTTATGAAGGTTTTTTTTAAAGTATTTTTGTTACTATGATGGTTAAATAAGATTGTTTGTCAGGCTGTTGTTTGTCAGCTTGAAATGGAGGATGGCGTTAGTGTCATTAATTGTTATTTTTCTTCCAGTTTTGTTTGTTTTTGCTCATTTTGTTTTGCAATTTTTTGCTAATTTTGTTTTTTTTTTCATCAGTAATTTTTGTTTGATGTTGTTATTGTTAACAGGTAAGGAAGATATGCTGATATCACTGATATCACAATTGAAAAATTCTAGATAAATTTCATTCATTGGTCGTTTTAATGGTTAAATTCTTCCATATTCATCTATTTGATGCTCCAGAGCAGCAGATAATGCTGTTGAATAAATTTGTTCATTTGATATCTTGTAAAATTGTGAGTTTATTTTTAATAATTAATAATCAAATAATAATAATAAATATTAGTGATAATAATATTATTATCATTTATATAGCACCTGTATTATGTTGTAGATGCTAATTTAGGTTAATAGGTATAAGTTAATATAGGTTGTAATGTATATAGATATGTGTTAAAGTAGTTATGTAATTATAATGGTGAAGAGCGAGCAATACAATACCTGCTTAAGTATGGATGGTGCTTAAAACGTTGAAACTGATAATGTTATTAAACACTGTTGATAAGTTAGGTATTAAAAACAACATTTACAACTATTTATAAAAACAAATCTATACTAAACAGTAAATAAAACTATCGAAGAAAATTGTATTTGATAATTTAAAAAATTTTTAATTGAAATTTGTTATTTGAATAAAAAAAATAATCTTTACATACAGGCAGAATCTTTCGGTTGTATGTCTTGAAAAATTTAGCCTTTCTAGTGCAGATTTCATTTGGTATAAAATATTTATGGCAGGTGATTTAATAACAACAGAGGAACATTAAACTATGTATATAAGAAATGATGAATAAAAAATAGAATTAATAATAACAACAACAATAGCATCCCAAATTCAATGATGAAGAATAACAAGAATAATAAGATGATAAATAAGAATAGTAGAAAAAACAATAATTGTATTAAAATCTTAATGTTTTATTATTTAAATAATAAATATTTATCCAAAAATGCTATTTTCAGTAAAGTTTCTTATTAACAGTTAAAATTGTAACATACGATAAAAAACATTGTTAGTAATTTTTCAGCTTTAGCGCTTCGTGTACTTGCATTGCATTATACTGGGAGTTGTAAAAACTTAGAAATGGGAATGTCTGACTGGTTTTTCCGGGTAATAAAATCCTGATTACTTATAGTAATGGAATTATAAAACATTATGAAGATAGTAATATGAAATGCTAATAGTATTATTGCTGCAGTAACGTGATGCCATTGCGGTCGAATTCGCGTTTGTTCGTTTGTTTGTTTGTTCATTTTAAGAATTTTATTGTTGGTTTTATTGTTGTCGGTCCTGTCTTCTTTGCTGCATGTGCATGTTGATTGTGCATGTTAATTGTGTGTGTGTGTATGTGTGTGTGTGTGGTGTGTTGATTTTCTGTGTGGTGTAATGATGTAGTTTTTGTTGTTGTTTCTAGTTTTATTGTTGATTAAGGTCGTTGGGACCGTTTTGTAGTTGTTGTCGTTGTAGTTTTTTGGGATGTAAAATTTGTTTCACGAATTTTCAAATTTGTTTGGCTATAAATCAGCAGACCCAGTTAAATGATATGTTAAAGTCATTTTGTGTTGACATTGAAAACTTGAAAATTAAGTTTAATAATTTTGAAAATGTAATTAAAATTAATAACGATAACAACAACGTTGAAATTGAAAATCTGAAATTTAAGTTCAATAGTTTTGTAAATGTTAATAAGGCTAATTTGACTAATTTAACTTCTACTAGTCGACCTACTAATATGCCTTTAAATGCTAATAATATTAAAGTTAACACTAATATGTCTTTAAATGCTAAAAATAATAAAGTTAGTAATACTGTTAACCAGTCAAAAATTTCAACAAATACTACTCCTGTGACTCAATGTTGGGGTGACCGTCATGATTCGTCTGCTGTGGATTCCCATTGTGAGTCTCATGATGAGGCTGGTGATGGCTTTAAAATGGTTACAAATAAAAAGCAGAGAAAGTCACCTAAGTCCAATCATGTCAGCCAATTGCCCAATACCAATAGCGGTTCCAAAACTTTGTCAAAGAAAATTTTCGGTACAGGACTTGATTGTCCATTCAAGGCTTCAAAAGTTATCGTTAAAAAAACTACATATTACGTAGGCAACGTCGGCCCCTGTGGTAAAAATGTAATGGAAGATCATTTAAAGTCAAAAAATATCGCTATCACCAGCTGTTTCCCGATTTTACGTAAAAAAAAATTCTGATGATCCTCCTATCGATGTTAACACCGAATCAACTGCGTTTAAAATAGTTTAGCCGTTAGATCATTTACCTAAGTTGTTGAACCCAGATATCTGGCCTCAATATGCTTTTTTCCGTGAGTGGGACTACTCAAAGATAGGCTCAGCCCAGTTATCCTCGCAGAACGCTAAAACTACTGACCATGGCGGAATCAAGTAACTGTTTCAATGACCCTCCGGGAACCAACTCATTTTTTCATAATGATAATCATTGCCAATTTGATAGTGTCGATCCGGATGTTAATATTTTTTCTAATATTTCCTTTGAATGTTCTCCTTTATTGCCTGGTAATATTAATTTTTTTATTGATTTATTTAACTTCAGTATTTTTCATGTTAATTGTCGTAGTCTTCTAAATAAAATAACTGAATTAAGTATTTTGATTGACTTATGTGGTGGTAGGTTTGATTTGGTGGCTGTCACTGAGACCTGGTTGAGTGATGCTACCTCTGCTTTGATAAATTTATCTGGTTTTAAATTTGTATGCGTGAATCGTATTTGCAATATTGGTGGTGGTGTTGGTTTATTTGTTAGAGATGGCTTAAAGTATGTGGTACGAGATGATTTGTATTTTTATTTTACTTCTTTTGAGTATTTAATTGTGGAGATTTTTATAAGTATAAATATTAATTACTTGATTATCGTTTTATATCGCCCACCTGGTGTTGACACTTCTGTATTTTTTAATGATTTAACCACTCTATTTCTTAAATTTAACTCAACGTCGTTTACTAATGTTTATATCACTGGAGATTTTAACATTAACTTATTATCTGATGATTACAAACATTCTTCTACTCAGTTTATTAATCTTTTACATTCTTTTTAGTTATTATTCCTTAATATCAGCGGCCACTCGTGTTACTGCCACTAGTAAGTCTTTAATTGATAACATATTCACGAATAATATTTCTAATCATAAGTCTGGTATTATTTTGTCATCTTTCTCAGATCACTTCCCAATTTTTACTTCATTCTTAACTCATGGTTTAACTATACCCGAACGTTCAATTACTTCTTTCAATTACTCTGCTTATAATATTTCTAAACTAAACATGTATCTTTTGAACTATGATTGGTCTTGTATCTTGAACTGTTATAATACTGATTTAGCTTTTAATTCATTTTTAGACATTGTTAAAAATGCAATCATTACAAATTGTAAATCTTTCCGTAAGAAATCCCTTAAGAGGAAGCCGTGAATTACTAAGGGTTTGATTATTTCATCTGCTAATAAAAATAAATTATATAAAAATTTTTTGCTTTCCAACTCTTTATTAGATAAATTAACATATATTAAATATAAGAAAATTTTTTCTAAATTATGTAAACTGTCTGAAAACCTTTATTATAATTATCAGTTTTTAAATTGTAAATCTAACAGTGGACATACTTGGAAGTTATTGAAATCTTGCTTAGGTCTTAATAATATATCACCATCTTTTAATATAATGATTGATAACCATTTTATTATGGATGATGTTTTATTGTGTAATTATTTCAACAATTATTTTTCGTCATTAAACAATGTTAATAATTCATCTGACTGTAATTTTGATTTTAAAAGGTTTATGGGTAATCATGTTTCTGATTCATTTGTTTTGTTTGAATGTCTCTCGTTTGAAATTATTGATGTTGTTAACAATTTTAAATGCACTCAGAGTTGTGGTGATGATCTTATTTCAAATTTCTTACTAAAAAATATCATTCATAGTATTATGTCACCTTTGCTACATCTAATTAATCTATCTTTTAAATGTGGTCTTTTTCCCAATTGTCTTAAGATTTCTAAAATCTTACCATTATTTAAATCCGGGGTTCGCCATTCTATTAATAACTACCGTCCTATTACTATTCTTTCCAGTATATCTAAACTAATTGAAAAGATAATCTTAAATCGCTTTAATAAATTCCTCAATTCTCGTAATGTAATTTCTTTGAATCAATATGGCTTTCACGACAAATTATCAACTGAATTTGCAGTTGTCGATGTTATTAATTATATATCCCTAGCTTTAGAATCCAAGAAATACTCTATAGGTGTTTTCATTGATCTCTGTAAGGCATTTGATTCCTTGGATCATAATATTCTAATGTACAAATTATATTCTTATGGTATTCGTGGTTTGGCTTATAATTGGTTTTCTTCTTACTTATCTAACCGCTTTCAATATGTCTCTATTAATAATTCTAAATCTCAATTGTCTCCTATTAAATCTGGCGTTCCTCAAGGTTCTATTCTAGGTCCTTTGCTTTTCAATTTATATATCAATGATTTTATTAATTCATCAAATATTTTAAAGTTTGTTTTGTTTGCCGATGATACTACCATCCTTTACTCTCATCATGATATCAATATTTTAGTTAATGTTATTAACGATGAATTGAAATTCGTGTATGAGTGGGTTGTTTCTAATAATTTGCGCATTAATTTAGACAAAACGTGTTTTATTTTATTTGGCGCTAAGATTAGGACTGACATTGTTTTTCCTGTTATAACTTTAAATAACGGTGCTGTCAAAAGAGTCCCTTCAGTTAAATTTTTAGGTGTCTTTATTTCATCCAATTTGTCATGGTTGACTCATATCAGACACATTTCAAGCAAGTTAACTAAAAATTTGGGCCTAATTAATCGTCTGAGTACTAAATTTCCTAGGTTTATCTTATTCACATTATACAACTCTCTCGTATTACCATATATTATTTATTGTATTTCTGTTTGGTGTTCAGCTCCTAAATCAAATCTTCATATTTTAACATTATCTCAGAATTTTTTTCTACGTATTTTATTTAATGTACGTAAATTTGACCATATTACTTCTTTTTACAGTCTAGAAAATATTTATAATATAAAGCAATTATATATATGTTATTTATTACTTTTATTTTTTAAAATTTATAGGTTGAACTATTGTAAATCGCTTTTCAATGTACTTGTTTCATTTAAAAATACTAGATGTGATCGTTTCCGTAAAAATCTAGATTTTTACCTTTCCACGCCTAGGTCGAACTTTTTTCTTTATTCAGCTTTATCATTTTCAATGCGTCTTTGGGATACGTTACCTGAAAGTGTGAAAAACTCACCTTCCTATAGCATATTCAAAGCATCAATTTATAGACTCATTTTGTCAGGTCATTTTAATAACCATTGAAACCATTTCCCCTGTCTGGTTGCCTATTAATATTTTCTGTTTTATTTTGGAATTTGTTTGCTTTTTTATTATTTATCAGTCCTTATATTTTGTTTGATTTATGTTTTCATCGCACATATTTTAGTTAAGGTGGTCTGCACATACAAATATGTATCTTGATCTCCTGTGCTTTCGGCCAAATAAATTATTTTTCAATTCAATTCAATTCGAATATGTGTGGTCTTCTATGTCGGCTGATTTGATTGAGCTAGTTTTGAACTGCTTTCAATATATCTTAAATTGATGTCGTTGTTTGTGGTTATTTATATAAAGATCAATTTATGAATGAACATGATTAATACGGCCAAAATATTTTGCAAGACACGAGTATTTTTTTTTAAATTCTAATTTAAATTTAATAGTTATACTTATAAAAATCGAATTATATTTTATTTTTTTTTATAAAAATTGCTTAAAATTCTTTGTTTCATCCAAAAATTTGTAATTCAAACAAAATCGCATGAGATCACATTTCATATTTGCTTATGCTCATATTTTAGAGTTTCAAAAAAGAATTATATGCTGTATAGTTTTAATTTAAATATTTTTTGTTGATTCAAAAACGTTTGTAGTTGAAAATTGCTGGCAGACTATATCAAAAAACGAAAATGGCTTGGTGCTACTTTCAGAAGTTTTGCTATAGATTTTATTCACTTAATTTTAATGAAACATTCGTCAGAAATAAAAAGGTAACCATAAAAACCAGACAATAAAAATTGAGAGAATTTTTTTGTGTTTCAAAAAATTTTAAAATTAAATTGTATCTGTGAACAAAACAATAGGAATCATAATGAAGATGGCAAGAAGAGGTTTAAAATAAACTTTAACAAAACCTTTTTCATTAAGTTTTGAATCAAAAACATCAACCTAAGACCTCGTTATAAACATCTGCAATAACGCATCAACATTAACAACTTCGGTAACACTATTTATTTCCTCATTAACTTTAACACCAGAATAAAAACCAAATAACCAAACCACGAAATGAAAAAAGAAATATAGTTAGACAAAAGGTTACAATAATAAAACGCTGACATCAGGAAAAACGTAACGTCGCTGACCGAATGCCTTCTTTATGAATCACGACACAACAAATCATTCCATGTTCAACTGATGATGTGACGTTGATGATGACCGCGATGTTAATGCTAACAATAATGACGATTATAACGAACTAATTAGTGATGATGAAAATGATAATAGGATAATTATTTATAATGATGATGTAATTAGTGATAATGATGATGTAATTAGTGATAATGATGATGTAATTAGTGATAATGATGATGTAATTAGTGATAATGATGATGTAATTAGTGATAATGAATGAACTCACATCAAACAGACATCAATGTTAACGATGTCAACTGTATGACCAATAAATATATTAAAGTGTTAAAAGATTTAACATTTAAAAGAAGAAGATAATGTTAACCAAATGATGATGTTGTGGATAATGATGATAAAAAAATGATGATGAGGATGATGATGATGTGGTTTTTGATGTGAAGACAATAATGGAAGTACTTTTATAATCCAGGTTTTGACACCTGCTACGCAGCTATTAACGTTAAAAGTTTGTCATGGTGATTGCACGAAGCAGTAATGACAAAAAGGACAAATTTATTGAGTACCATGAAAATGTCATCAGATGATGAGAGAGAATGATAATGAGAAAGATGTCAAGATAATTATACAAACGACAGTTTGATGATCAATAATAATAATGGTGGAATGATGGCAACACATGAATTGTATTTCTCAGTTACAGCTATGCCGTTTTGTGAGTATTAAGTTTTAGTAACCTGATAACGAAAATAGTTTTGAATACTCCTTATGACTATTTTTTTATTGGCAACTCTTTCAGGAATGAGTCTGCGGCTTATGATGACAAATAACCTAGCAACAGATGGAAAATATTTCATTCCATACATCCTCCGCTCCATTCCATCTGTTACCGTGGAAACAATTCTGGAGCATTTAAAATTCAAAACTTTTACATTTCCATTGTCTACTATTTTTTATTGCTGTTACTTTATTGTTGTAATTTTTCGAATTCTCACATTTCTAATTTTGAAAAGGAAAAAAAGTTTTGTCTGATTTTGTTTCTGATTTGATTTGTTATTCAGTTTTTTTGTTGAAATTGTTGTTTTTGTGGTCAAGTTTTACGTTTAAGTTTTCCTTCTTGCGTTTATGGATCTGTGGGAATCTTTTATAGCAGCGGATGTTTTTATTGACATTTTGTTGCAAGCGAATCACTGCAAGAATTTCTAAACTGCACGTTCCAGGGCAATGTCAGTGGAAGAAAAAGTCAGCTGCCAAATTAAATTTATTTAAAAATAATTTTCATCGCTATTTTCTTTTTCGAAAAACTAACAATAAATACGTGTTTTGAAGAATGGAAAGTTGCGTAAAAGTTTTTTTTATTTTCTCGTCTGCTGACGAAAATTTTTTCTAACATGTAAAACCTTTAACAACTTTTACTTTTTAACAGCGAATGTTTTTGTTCACGTTTTTGAACTATTATTTTTCAAATTAACGTTTGTAATTTTAATTATTTTTGAAAATTTTCAGATTTTCTATGTGTTGGCCATGTTCATGAATGTTCGATTAGCTTGCATAGATGAAAAAAATCTATCATGTATCATTGTTCAACTTTTCATAAATTTAAAAAATCATTTACTCAGCGCTATTAAATAAAAAATTCAAAACATTCAATCCTCTCTGCGTTAAAATTTACTGATATTGAAAGAAAAAAGTATAAATTACTTTTTGAGTAAACACAAAAAACATGTGAAAAGAGTTTATCCAAGCGATTTTAGTGAAATACTCAACATTCAATCTATTCATTTCAAAGTGGAATCCAATTTTAGTAGAATTTTATATCAATTAAAAAACTCTCAGAAAAAAATGAATGTATTGTTGAAATAAAAAAAGTTATACTGCTTGCAATTTTACAATTTCTATAGTGCTGCACAATCACATTCGAAAATATAAACTAGAGCAGGGGTGGGCAAACCTTTTTCTGTGAGGGCCGCAGTGAGAACAATTTTACCTTTGAAGGGTCACATATATACTTAAATAGCAAATTTTTTCGACTCGGAGAAAATTTTTTTTAAGATTTGTGGCTCCTTCTTTTTGGTTTTGGTCATAATGTTTGGATGACGACCTTTTTTGGCGAACAAGACATCACGGGCCGCATAAAATTGCTTCGCAGTAGGCCCGTTGGCCGTGGTTTGCCCACCCCCTGGACTTGGGTCTATAAATATGTAACCATTTTTAAAATTTTAATTATTTAAACAATATAATTTTTGTATACCAATACTCAATTATTTAAACTGAAAATATTTCCATTGAGAAAATTTTAAAAACGATCACTAAACCAACCTGACCCGTGTTTAAACATCATAAATAACAGTATCGAGAAAGCAACAAAATGGAAGAAGAAGTTGATGCCACATGTGCGAAAAAATGGTGGGAGTGCCTGTTTCCAAAGTTTCTTTGCTACCACTGCGGAGATTAAATTTGAAAAGATTGTTTGGAGACCTATTTGAAATAAATTTATATTTTGGGCTTGGCGAAGAGACTATTTCAGTTAAAAATTCAGTTTTTGAAAAATTGTCGAAGATTTATTTTAGAAATTTCTTCATAAACATATATACAATTTTTTTCATAACTTTACAATGACTTTACAAAGTTTTACAAGCTAAACAAAAAATACTTTCAGATGAAATAAAAATTTAAAAAAATCTTTTTAAAACTTCAAAAAATATAATAAAAAATTAAACTCAGAAACCATTTAATCACAAAAAATTTAACGCAAATCAAAAAACAAAATCAAAATAAACATTAAAGGCTGCAAAATAAAATTACAACGGGAAAAAAAATATAGAACATGCCAAGCTAGCAAAACATCAGAGGCATGATTGATTCACAATGAATTTGAACATCTATCTTTCAAAGCTAAGCTACATTCGTTCGATGCGTTTAAATAAGAAAAGAAAAATGTGTCATGAGATAAAGAGGAAAAGGATAAAATTTGTTTAGTTTCGAACATTTTGTTGCTTATGGCGATAACAATTTTGATGATAATAAATAATGAATTATAAATTTAAAAAAATAATTAATTTGAATTTATACAGTGCTTGATATTGTTTGTAACAATAACGCCAAAATAACATGTAAATAACAAAATTAATAACATTAAATTGATAATAGTAAAATAATAGAAACATCAACAAAATTTTTAGTCATAACCATAAAAATACAATTATTAACTTTCACTCGCAACAACTTTACAATGATCAATTTTTTAAATTTGTTAGTAACTCTTTCGCACCACACGTACACCCATTCATTTGGCGGCAAAATGTTTCTTTAGATGAAATAATCTTTCCCATTCTTCAACGTACAATATGCATTTGCTGATGTAATTTCATTAGCCCCATTTTTGTGATTCAACTCTTTCTTTGTGAAAAAATGTTTTTGTGTTATTAAACATTTTATTTTATGGTGATTTTATGTGATGAAATAATATATGGTGAAATAATAGAAAAGTAAAATAAATTTAGTAAATTGTAAAACAGGGATGGACAAACTACGGGTTCTCGGGCTGTAAGCCAGACATTATGACCAAAAAAAGTGCCACGAATTTTAAAAAAATTCTCCCCCGGGCCGAAAAAATTTGCTATTTAACTACATAAGCGGCCCTTCAAAAGTAAAATACTTCTCAATGCGACCCTCACAGCAGAAAGTTTGTCCACCCTGTTGCAAAGTATAAATTTTTTTAGATATATGTTTAAGATCATTAAAGCAAATGCATCTGTACAATGGTAGATAACAAACGAAAAAATCGGACAAAAATTTTGAAAAATTTCCAAATAAATTATTTTTTTTTTGTTGAATTTTATTACAAAAAAAGCCCGAATTAAATTTCATTTTTTGTTGAATAGTATTTCTTTTAAATTACTGAAATAATAATAAAAAAAAAATGCTGGAAAAACTTATCTTCATCGTCAGAAAAATAATGCAGTGAAAAAAATCTTTTATATATAACATAATCCTTTTTCAAATTAATAAAAAATCTTACTACCTAGTGCATATAAATATAAATAAAAAATATATTAAATAAAATCATTATAAGTATTAATATTAATAATACAAATTTAATTCGCCATAATAAAGAGAAATAATAAAATATTTGTCATCCATCTGCCTGCCATCCATCATACATTAGGTGCTCATCTTGCCGAATTATCCTCATTATATCGAACAAACAGTGCATTACTAACGAGCGATGCTACTACTGCTACTACTACTACTACTAATGCTGCCTCTACTACTACTGCTGCTACTACTACTACTACTAACATTACTTCTACTGCTATTACTACTACTACTACTACTACTAATATATATGTATATACAATATATATTTATATTTGTTGGAAGGAGACCATATTTTACTTAGTTTTGTATGAATTCTACCAATTAAGGTTTGTCTTTTCAATTTTTCTTAATAGAATTTTCTGGATATTATTCAATTTGTAGAAAATAGAATTATCCAAGTTCATCATGAAAATTTGATGAAACTGTTGATATCCAAATTCCTCATAGAGATAAGGCCTTATTTCAATTTCTCACAATCATTTTCAGTGCAGCTTTGGTTTATATAGTTTTTTTTAAACAAAGTAAAGTTTGTTCTTTAGCAAAGTGAGTTGCTAATTTGTGTCAAATTCTTTATCTCCTTTGTTGTTGTCATTTCCTTGTTCTTTATTGTTATTGTATTAATTAATATTAGAGCGTCGAGTTGGTAATGACGTAATCGTTCTTTGTTGGATGTTTATTTGGGGTTCATTGATATCTATTAGGACAGCTTCTGCATATTTTAAATGTATTGTGTTGGTATTTTGATTAATTATTTTTGGGTTGTTGTCAAGAATTTGGCGGGTTATTGGAGTTGCATGTGTTGATTGCAAGTGAGATTTGATGGCTCCTCTATGTGTAGGCATTGTGAGACGTCTTGATAGTGAAGTGGTCGTAACACCAATACCTGTACGAATGTTGTTGAGGAGCACAGTCATCAATGGGGCCTTTATGTTCATATATCACGTGACAACGCCTTGTTTTTAAAAGTCTTGTAACACAGTAAACACGTACATGGGCACTTGAGTCATTGTTCTAGCGAATTGTTTCCGTAAAGGCTCTCCTTCTTGCGTCTGCTACTTTCAATTGAATACATCCATCTCTGTTATTTTAGATCTTTCTCTTTTAAATAATGAAAAATTTCAAAAAAATTGTGAAATATTGTCGAAAAGGGAAGAAAAAAAATTAAATGAAGTATAACTTGTAATGAATAAAATATTTTTCGCAAGGAGGCACATATGTTTTTGTGGTTTCTTCAATTGTTACATGCTTTTCTTTACACGTCTGTACAAAATGTTCTTAATTTTTTCTTGGTTTATACATATGTGTGTTTGCTAAATTTATATCTACACATACAAACACACACAAATACGTATACATAATAACATACATAAAAAGACACACATACATACATGCACACATATATATTTATTTGTTTCCTTTGCTTTCTGGCCACTTCTCAATTTACTGATCTTATTGAGAAGAAAGCACATCTGAGCCATATAACAAAGTAGCACCCAATGACAAGCACGCACGCAAAATACGTACAGAAAAATTCATTCACATGCAAATATTTAACACTCTTATTACAAACTTAAACTCATAGAATCTTTATACAATTTTAGAATGTGTGAATTGTAATTTAATTTTATAATCAAATTACAATTCACACATAATACATTATTTAAAACCAAAAAAATTTCAAAATAAAATGAAACATGGAGATGGAACATATACAGATGTAGAAAGATGAAGAAAGAAAGAGAGAGAGAGAGAGAGAGAGAGAGAAAGAAAAACAGACACACGTACAGTGCACACATTGAAGCGACTATTTGTGTACACATTCCTTGCGTTGAGCAGTCATTTTATTCGGGCTTGTGTTAATACATTACAAATACCTTGCCTGGCTTCTCAGAGCACCGCATCTCATGGCTTCAAACATACGTCTAGCTATGTGTGCGTTAGTGCGTGTGTATATGTGTGTGTCTGTGTGTGTCTCTGTGTGTGTGTTTGTGTGTGTGTGTATGTATGTGTATGTATGTTTTATTTGTATTGTAGAGAATATCAAATGTTCTACGTTAATATCAAGAAATGATAACACACGAACTTTCTTCTAATAAAAGTTACACTATAACTAAGATTGAAATAACCTTTTGATTGCTTCTTACTTGACAAATGCACTGTAATCTTCAGCAATATTTATTTTACTTTCAAAGAAGTTTGAAGGCTCCTATGTAAAAAATTGTTCAAGCCATACGTGCCTTATATAATATGAATTTATTACATTTTTCATCCAACGTCTTTAAACGTGTCACACAAAGTTTTAATTTAATTTCGGTAATGCGTGATTAGACAAGAGATTGAGGTAATTGAAGAAAGATTTTTTGATAAAAAAAAAAAAATAATTACTTACTTAAAATTTATAATAATATTTTTATAAATTTAAAGGTACAAATTAAAGTTTATCTTCCATTTTGTAATGTAGGTGTATACCATTAGAGAAAAATTTTATAAGGAGGAAATAAAAATTATTCAACAATTATTAGCAACATTAAAACTGATCAGACTATGCAAGTAATGTTACAAAATCAATCGTTATAGAACGAAAATGTCAAAATTTTAAAAATTTGTTTAAATATTACAATTAAATATCAAAAGCATCCTGCAGAGGCACAAAGTAATTGTACTAATATGAAATATCCACTAGCAAGTATCACCAATAAGTAGCTGAATTATTAATAATATAGTAATTGTTAACAGAAGTAATGCGAAAAGGCTGGTGTTATTTCAGGAATTGAAAATGGTATCTTATTAAGAATTTAGGATAGTATCATATCAGGGATTGAAGATTGTATCTTATCAGGAGTTTAGCACAGTATCATATCAGAGATTGAAGATAATATCTTATCAAGAATTTAAGAAAGTATCATAAGGGATTTATCGAATAATAAGAATAAAAATAACGTAGAAAAGCTTATGAATGGAAGATGACTGTATTTAGTAGGAGTTATTTGAAGTTGTTGTTGTTGTTGGTGGTGGTGGCGGTGGAGTTATTTTTGTTGTCGTTGATGTTGTTGTTGTTGTTTGCTGTCATTCACTTCTTCCAATGCAATAAATTGATGAGAATTGTCGGTGTATGTAATTATATTGATGGTGTAACACAACACCATCATCATCCAAAAATAACATCATCATTTACACACTTTGCCTTCGTTCTCCTGATGTCTAATTGCACCATCATCATCGCGATTATCATTTACAACAACACAATCACAATCCTTATATTCATTATAATTATTTCCATCGTCTTAATTATTGTCTTATTCTTCATCGTCGACAACAACAACAACAACAACAACGTCGTCTTCGTCGTCATCATTGCCATCTTAATCACTCGTAGCTTTTTTCACAGCGATATGCCTTGGTAGATCACTAATGGGTGTTTATGCTTTGGTTGTACGTGTTTTTGAAACCGATGTCATTATTATTGTTGTTATTGTTGCTGTTTGTGATGTTTTGTTGTTGTTTGTAGTTGTTGTTGTTCATTTTGTTTTAGAATCCCTTATATTTTATTTGTGGCTAATGGTTATTGGTTTCTTCTCAGTGTTGCTGTTATTATGTTTGATTTTATTGTCGATGTTGTTTTGTGTGATTCATATTTTTAATTTTTTGTTGTTGCTGTTGTTGTAGCCGCTAATTTTTTTGTATTCCTTGCAGTTTGGTTCACTACTGACTGATCTATTCAATAGTTATAGTTTGGCTTGTGGGAGTTTTTGGATTTTTCTTTTTATAGTTTTTACGTTTTCTTGTTGATGTTTTTTGCTGTGTTATTTTAGAACAAAGTTTGGATTTTGGTATTTCTAATGGGTTTTTCCTATGTTTATAGACTGACAATGAGTTTGAAAAAATATTTTTAGCAAATAGTTGTTTTCAACGTTTTGGGAGGTAATTAGTAAAACAATGTCATAACGTAGTTTCGGGCTTGAAAATTTGTAGATCAATTATTTTCGTAATGCAGTAAATGTTTAAAATGAAAATTTTTCACGTCGGTGCTTCATGAATGTTGCGTTGTATTTAACAACAATTCTGAAACATTTTTCTCAAGTTATTATATAGTGAAGTTGTATGTAGTTATACAATTTCCGTTTTAAAAATTCAATATTCTTGCCCGTAGTGATGTATTAAAATGGCTGAAAACTTTTTAAAATTTTCCCCAAAATTCCGAACCATTAGTAATAAAAACAGCAAAATATTACATTAGCTGACGTCATTCTTACGTCACTCACTGATTCAACATTTTCGTTGTGATTTTTGTCTTTCGCAAAAAATCTTAACGTCGAAAGCTCGCTTGCTAATTGCAAAAACAAGTAGATGAAGAACATTTGCGGCAGCGTGCTGGGCTAAGCCATTGCGTATATACATTAAACTCGGCGGGAAGCTATGACGAACATTGCAGGCATCCATTTGTTTATATTTAACAAAAAATAAAATCAACTTCTAAAATAAATTTTCAAATTATTATAAAAAATGTGTTTTTTTTTGCATTAGCACTTTATCTTCTTTCTTACCATATAATACTCATCTTACCATATCATCACATATATCATCATGTCATATTGTATCATACTGCGTCGTATCATATTATATATCATATCATATCATTTCACATCACATCATGACCTACCATATACCCTATCATATCATATTATATCATATCATAACATATCACACCATATATCATATCATATCGTACTCTATATCATATCACCACATTACCACACAATCACACCGTCAGAGAAATGACGTCACCATCATCTCAATCACCAGGCCGGTCATCATTCAACAAATGCCTATGAATCGTTACGTCAGGCCTAAAAAGGTATAAATTGAAAAATCATCCATGCTTGAAATTTTTTGAAGGACGCCTGCATACTCATCGCCCGGCCATTTTGATGGAAAGCTTCGCGATTTTTCATGCGTTATGATTTCTCTTTGTTGCTGCCTCTTTGGTTTTTGTCGTCTTTGGTGTTATTGTTCTTTGCTGCTGTTTTTGTTGTTATTTTGTTTTCTTTTGTGTTAGTGTCCCTTGCTGTTGTTAATCTATGATTTGTTCTAGTTTCTTGTTATATTGTGAAGATGTGGTAGGTATCGCAATAATTTAATCTTGTTCGTGATGACTTTTCAATTATTCAAGTTATTATTAACCTTCTTTGGTGACATCATCGATTTTCTTGTATTGTTATCTTTGTTTTTTTTTTCAAATTTGGTCATCGATCTTTCATCTTGCATGAATGGAGGGGTGAAATAAATTGTTAGGACTTTGAATTATCATCGGGCTCTCCTTCTTTTTATAAGCATTTTCTATTATTTTCCAAGAATAAAATAAGTATCCAAACACTGTCAAAATTCAACATTTTGGACAAATTTTTAAAATTAAACCTCTAAAAACAGAAAGTCATTATTATTGCATAGGCCGATTTTTTTGTTCAACTTTAAAATGAAAATTTTGCCAAATAAAAATACTTGAAAGAGCTAAAAATCTTAAATATAGAACGTCCAAGAACTCATTTTTCTTGAAATATTTACAAATTATTTTTGAATTTTTCTTTAATTCCACACACACGAACATTGCATTGCCACGCCATCATCAGTCAACCTAGGAAGACATACATACATGTTGGAAACGGTTAAACATACATAAAACTGCATAAATTTGTTTCAATGATTCAATTTTGATTCAAATAGGAAATATAAAAGATGGGAAATTAAAAAAAAAGAAATAGCCAAATAAACAAACACGGTGGAAGATGAGGATAATGAAATGAGTTCACTGGAGCTGTACATTTGATAAATGAGATGTGGAGAGTCCTATGCTACACATCACTGCACGAACAATTCAAAAAATATAACAGACACACGCTGACGTGGAGGCAGATTATTCTTTGAAACAAAATTATTTATATTTGTAAGTGCGTTCTCATTACGCGATTTGTGAGAGTAAACATCGAATGATCCAAACCACATGTCCCATTTATTACTTAACCATATACGAATAATGTCATTTGATAAAAATTAACAAAACTCTCGATTACGTTTTCAAAAAATTCCACACACACACAAACAAACACACATACACTTGAGCAAAGCAATAGATAGACACGCAGTGATAAGAGTTTAAATGCTGGTCCGGCTGTAGAAAATTTTGCTTTTTATGGCTTTTTTGGTTTACTGCAATATGGACATACTAGGTATTGAAAATAACTACGGATTCGCATTTGATATCTATGATTTTACTTTATCTTATTTATTTTATAATAAAAAAATACATTTGAATGCTTGATCGTCTGATAATATTTTTAATAAAAAATAAATATATTTGTAAAATTACTATGGTTAAATTATTTCTGTCATAATTTGTAGAACTGCTAATGATTGGGAGGCTATCAATATTTCAATTAGGTACCCGTCTTCCTAATTCCAAAGTGTAGATAACAACCACGCCAATGTTTTTAATGTGACAGTATCACAAATTGTGTGTAAAAAAGGAAAGAGAGAAAAGAGAGAAACATGAATAGAAAAAGAAAGGAAGAGAGAGGATGGAAAAAACAGAGAAAGAGAGAGAGAGAAAGAGAGAGAGAGAGAAAGAGAGATATATATATAGAGATAGAAAGTTGAATGTTGAATGTAAGTCTGCACGATCTCATCATCATTCAACGTCAACAGCCATCAAATGCAGACATCAACATCTATTAGTTTTAACATCATTCAACCTTTCACACATTACATACAAACATACGCGTAGATACTAACCCACACACACACGCACACACACACACACGCACACACACACATAAAACCACAAGCACACATGAGCCCACGCACATACCAACATACATTAAAATTTTGGTTTCTAAATATAAGCAAA